CTGCCCATCCTTGATGTCCCGGTTCATCTTCTGCTCCTTGAGCAGGGAGCCGGGCAGATTTGAGGCGTACTTAAAACCAGGGCCACGCTTTTGCTTGTAGGCCAAAAAGAGAGAAGGAACAAACCTACTGTATATCTTTGGCCATGCCCTGTCTCTTCCCCAGGTCCACAGCACCCCACCTGCCTGACTATTCAAGAAGAGGCTGGTTATAGCAAGGCCCAGGCCCGCCCCACTCCTGGCTGACCCTGGGACTTGGAGCCCAGCACTCACTTTCCCGGTCTTGCCGGCGTGGTTACACTTCGGACACTCCCAGCAGTTTGGAAGCTCGTCGTTGACCACACCCTCTGACTCCTTAATCTGTTGAGGGACACACTGGGACTTAGCAAGTCAGGAAAGGCATAGGCAAGGGACCTTCCAAGCACACAGTTTCTCGAGGCATCTGCCAGAAACATCAACACTCTCCCCACCCCCCCAGGTCATATCCATCCCATATCCCAGCCTAAAAAACAAAGAGCTGCAAAGGGCTGGTAGAGATGAGCAGCTCTGGATTTAGGCCAGGGCTCAAATGATCAATCTCTATCTCTCAGGGACTGTCCGTGAGCCAGAGCCCTCTTCTAAAAAAAAGTCAACGTATCCATCTCACTAGGGGTTTGCAAGAATTCACTGAGATGACCTAGGTAAAACCATGAGCTCAAATCCTGGCACATAGAAAGGACCTTCCAGAGCACTCTACTGGGTGTCAGGTGTGAATAAGTCAGATGTGGTTGTCCCTGCTCTCATGGAGCACATGAGCTGGGAGAGAAAAGAGAGAAATAACCAAATAATTAAAATGTGAGGGAAGAGCTGATTTTTAAGCCCAGGAAATAGCACTACCCCCTCTGGAGTGGTGTGTTCACATGCGATTGTGATGCAGGAATGAAGGTCAAATCTCCCACCCCTGCTGAAGTGGTGGCTGCCTCAGAGCTGAAGTATCCTTATGGCCAGGCCCACCCAGATCTCTGTAAAACACACAAGCACGCAAGGTTTGACACAGGGGCGGATGGGGGCTGTGCCAGGGATGACATTGTCTTGGGACAAAAGGTATATGCCAGCCCAGAGTGGTCTCTTCCTTTCAAAGATGAATCTACTGCCTAAAACAGAAAGGCACAGCACAATAGTCATCTGGGAGAAGGTAAGAGCTGCTCCAGGCACACTGGGAACAGGTTCCTGGTGCAAAGGAACAGGAATGCAGCCATCTGTTGTCTTAGACCCCGCCCTCCCCAACCTAGGTCCTGTCCTCCCAGAAACCCAGAGCCAAGACTACAGCCAGCACCTAAAGTCTCTCTCTGGCTCAGGTGCAAACAAGCAGCCCATGTTTTCTATCTGCTAACACTCTGGGAACCTTCCATGGTTCTGATGTCCTGGGGGTGGGGGCTGGCACATGTTCATTCCCTCAAAGACACTGGTGTCTGAACTGCTCCAGACCCCTCCTGTTATGGGCTCCTCACCTGATACACAGGAACGACCAGACTCAGGGAAAGTTTACCGTGCCACATCAGTCCCAATGCCTCAGTGGCAGTGTCCACCCTGAGGGATCAGCACCACCAGAGGCCCTGGGGGTGGGGGGTGTCAAGCTGTTCACCTTAAGGCATCCAGGGTGGATGATTTCATTGCAGATGGAGCACTCCATGAGCATGAGGTTAAATTTGCCTTCTTCCTCTTCCACCGTGTCTTCCTTCCCTGCCTCGCCACACACGAGGCACACGGCGGTGTGGGGCAGCACTGGCTGGGAGCCGGGAGAGCACAGACAGGTCAGTTGGGAGAGGAGGACATACCCCGGCCTGCCAGGAGATGTCAGAAAACTGGCCCTGGCACACTCACTCTTTCAAATACCTATCAGGCTACTACGCTGAGCACTGGGAAACAGCAATAAATCTCTGCCACCCTGAGCTTACATGTTAGTGGAAGGAGACAGACAACATCAACAATAGAGCATGCTAGATAGAGATGAGGGATATGGGAAAATAATGCAGCGAGGGCAGGGCCGGGGTACAGGATGGAAGGAAGGCTTCATATTTGGAAAAAGTCTGTAGGAGCTAGGGTGGATGCTCAACTGAGATCCCCAAAGGGCTGAGGCTGCATCTCACCAACGAGTCAAAGCAGAGCCCACGGACTGCAAGGTCCCAGTACCTTTACAGAGAGGTCTATGAGGTCCAAACTATCTTCAGAAGAGAAGAAGACATTGTTTGCCTTTTGTAGTGTTGATATTCCCACTGGTGGGTGAAAATGCTGGCCCCTTAGCACAAGTCAAGTCAGGGCCCTCAAGTGTACCAGAAGTCAGAAGCCCATGGCCACTTTCATTTAAGGATGTCCTTAATGAAGCAGTAGAAAATATAATTTATGAAAACCTAGACCTTGAGTACACACCCTTTTTACATTCTGTATAAAAGAAAAAAGCATGCATCAAGCACTTCTGCACACTGAAAGACGCTGGTTATCAAATGAAAGGCACTTGACTAAGCTAGGAGCTGAACTGGCCAAATTCTCCACAGATCGTTTTAAAAGTATGAGTGAGGCTAGGGCACGAGCCACATGCATCAGGGCTGGTGGGTTCAAATCCAGCCCGGCTCTGCCAAACAACAACGACAACTACAAGAAAAAAGCCAGGCATTGTGGCGGGTACCTGTAGTCCCAGCTACTTGGGAGGCTGAGGTAGGATAATCGCTTAAGCCCAAGAGTTTGAGATTGCTGTGAGCTGTAAAGCCACAGCACTCTACCGAGGGCAACATAGTAAAACTCTGTCTCAAAATAAATAAATAAATAAATAAAAGTATGACTGATAAAAACCCTATAGATACTGGCATATTTTCATGAACAAGAAAGAAGCAAGCCTGTCATTTCCAGAAAAGTAACAAATGGCATTTGTTACAAATCACAAAATTCAAAGTTTCTTTTTAATATTTCTAAAAATTGTTGCAATTCTGTGTTATATATGATTAAGTGTGTATGTTTAGCGCCAAGTCAACAACAGCTAAAAAAATTTCAGCTTTTGAATAAAAATTAGACTTTTAGAAAACTCAATAAGCCACCAGAAACAGAATGAGCCCTTCAAAATGAGGAAGATTTTTCTGACCAAATCAGTGGTGATATTAACAAATGGGATTTTAAAAATATTGCTATGATGTCACGTGGCAGTATTTAGAAAATCTGTCGGCTTGGCGCCTGTGGCTCAAGCGGCTAAGGCGCCAGCCACATACACCTAAGGTGGCGGGTTCAAATCCCCAGCCCGGGCCCGCCAAACAACAATGATGGCTGCAACCAAAAAATGGCCAGGTGTTGTGGCGGGCGCCTGTAGTCCCAGCTACTTGGGAGGCTGAGGCAGGAGACTCGCTTGAGCCCAGAAGTTGGAGGTTGCTATGAGCTGTGATGCCATGGCACTCTACCCAGGGGGATAGCTTAAAGCTCTGCCTCAAAAAAAAAAAAAAGAAAAGAAAATCTGTCCAATTCAGGGAGGCAGTATTTTCCAAATGGCTAATGCCTGATATTACAACATCATCCATGAGCAAATGAGCTATTCAAAGGGCAAAACAGACTGATGACTTTTAATGCAACAGTATGAAAAGTTCATTGATACAGTTTCAGATTCCACATTGTAACTAACCTTTAAGAAACTGCCCCCTGTTGAGTTCTGGTCGAGTATCAGAACATCCACGGTTATCTAAAAAGGCTATTAAAATACTTTCCTCTCTTTTCCAACTACTGTGTATCTGTGTCAGGCCAATTTTCCATATATTCCCTCCAAAACATCACTACAGATGAAATGTCCAAGTCTTTTCTAATGAACCAGAACATTGAGTAGGTTGAGAAGGGGTATTTTATAAAAGAGATTTATAAAAAAAATAAAATAATGCCATTCTTACTAATTATTTTTGTTTTTAGTATAGGGCAGCACCTGTGTCTCAGTGAGTAGGGCACCGGCCCCATATATTGAGAGTGGAGGATTTGAACTCAGCCCCAGCCAAACTGCAACAAAAAAAGTAGCCAGGCATGTGGAATTGTGGTGGGCACCTGTAGTTCCAGTTACTCAGGAGGCTGAGGCAAGAGAATCGCCTAAGCCCAAGAGCTGAAGGTTGCTGTGAGCTGTGATGCCACCGCACTCTAGTGAAGGTGACAAAGTGAGACTCTGTCTCAAAAAAAAACAAGTATTTCTCATAAAAATGTTACTTCTATTAATATACAATCAGTTTTTCAAATGAATATTTTAAAAATTCCTCAGTTTTCATTTCTAATACAGTAAATATTAATAAATAGCCCACAAAAATGAAAGTCTCTTGGGGTCCTCATAATTTATAAGAGCATAAAGGGGTCCCAAGACCACAAGGTTTTGAGAATTGACGTACCTGACTGTAAAGCCTTTGAGGACAGGGTCCAGATTGGCCTTATTCCTCCCTTTGTATACCCTCCCCTCTCTCCTAGTGATGGAGAGAGTATAATTTTTAGTAAACTGCTTTTAGAGGAGCTTTGAGTAAGCTGGGATATATACTTTGCTGATAAGTAAAAAAGACTTCATAAAAAGACACAAACATTTAAATTCAAACAAATAAAACACTGAAGGGTAAACCAGCCTTATTCATTCAACAAACACCAACTGAACATCTGCTACAGCCTGAAACAAGGTCCTGAAGGATGCAGGAGTAAGGAAGACAGCTGTCACACTTGAGATACTTGGGAAGAAAAAGAAATCCGGCTTGGAGCCTGTGGCTCAAGCGGCTAAGGCGCCAGCCACATACACCTAAGGTGGCGGGTTCGAATCCCCAGCCCAGGCCTGCCAAACAACAATCATGGTTGCAACTAAAAAATGGCCGGGCGTTGTGGCGGGCGCCTGTGGTCCCAGCTACTTGGGAGGCTGAGGCAGGAGGCTCACTTGAGCCTAGAAGTTGGAGGTTGCTATGAGCTGTGATGCCATGGCACTCTACGCAGGGGGATAGCTTGAGGCTCTGTCTCAAAAAAAAAAAAAAAAAAAAGAAAGAAAGAAAAAGAAATCCAAGGAAAACATGGAAAAGTCATGTCTAAGCATTACCAGAAGCAGCATAAGCTAATTTCTGAAGGATGTGGAGGATAGGGCAAAGAGGAAAGAAGCAGAAAGGGAGAAGGGCCTCAAGGTGAACAAGGACAGAGGTGCCTCTGCAGAGCAGGCCAGCCAAATGGGGAAGGCTGCTGCTGGGGGTGCCAAATTGGGGCGGGGGGCACAGTCCATGGTGGCCAGAAGAGCATTTGTGGTGGGGTGGAAGGCTGGGGCCTGACAAGAGGCAGTATGGAGGCAGCACCACAGGTGAAGCACTGCAGAGATCCAGAAGGGGAGATATGCAGGAGGAGGGGGAGAAGCCTGTGGAGGCAGCACTAGAGACAGGGAGCAAACGGAAGGGTTGGGCTGGTCATAGCAAGAGGAAGACTGGCACATGGAAGGCAAAGAAAGGAAAGGTGGGCCTGCATGTGTCACAGGTGGGCAAATCATGGCCCAACAAAGCAGAAGGCTGGAAGAAGAATAGGAAGGGCTCTGAGAACCTGGCTGAGGCTGTATTTGCTTTCAGCTTAAGAAGCCACATCAAGATAGAGAAGAGGAGATGCATGAAAGTGGTTTCCTAAAATAATGTCAAACAGGAAAAGACAATTGTGGATTCACTGTTGACACAAAAAGTTTTAGGTGACACTGTTCTTAAAACCGAGTGCCTAAGACAAACTCTCTTAAGTCCTAACATAATCCAAAGGTCACATGAACTGTCTCTCCTGAAAAATGCATTTGTGCATGCGCTCAGACAAAAATCATTATTTAGCTTCAGAAGGGCTCACAAATTCCCTAGAATCCATTCAGATATCCTAGGGTTCAGGTATCAATTAAAAACAAGCAGTACAACTTTAAAAATTCTATAGCAAAGGAAAGAATCAACAGAATGAAAAGACAACTTGCAAGATGGGAAAAAAAAAATACTTGCAAGCCATATATCTGATAAGTAGTTTCTATCCAGAATATTTTTATAACTCAACAACGATTTTAAAAAGCCCAAAAAGTTCAATAGGCTCAGCACCTGTAGCACAGTGGTTACAGCACCAGCCACATACACGGAGGCTGGCAGGTTCAAACCCAGTCTGGGCCAGTTAAAACACAATTGACAACTGCAACAAAAAACAGCCAGGTGTTATGGCAGGCGCCTGTTGTCCCAGCTACTTGGGAGGCTGTGGCAAAAGAATTGCTAGAGCCCACGAGTTTGAGGTTGCTGTGAGCTGTGACGCCACCACACTCTACTGAGGGCGACAGAGTAAGACTGTCTCAAAAAAAAAAAAAAGGCTAATAGACATTTCTCCAAAGATACACAAATGGCCAAAAATCACATGAAAAGATACTCAACATCACTAATCATCAAAGAAATCTAAATCCAAACCACAATGAGGTTATCACCTCATACACATTAGGATGACTATTATCAAAAACAAACAAGTATGCAAAGCAAACAAACAAAAAACCCAGAAAATAACAAGCATCAGTGAGGATGTAAAGAAATAGGAACCCTTCTGATACACTAGGGGAAACACAGAACAGCACAGCTGCTAAGGAAAACAGTATGCACATTCCTCAAAAAATTAAATATACAATGGCCATATGACTCACCAACCCCACTTTTGGGTGTACAGTTGACTCTTTTTTTTTTTTTTGGCTGGGGCTGGGTTTGGGCCACCTCCAGCATATGGGACCAGTGCCGCACCCTTCTGAGCCACAGGCACTGCCCCTGTACAGTTGACTCTTGAACAACATGGGTCTGAATTGTGTGGGTCCCCTTAAACTCAGATTTTTTTTCAATAAAATTTATCCCACCTCTTATTCTACCTCCTCCACCTCTTTAGCCTCTGCTACCCTGAGACAGCAAGACCATACCCCTTCTCAACCTACTCAATGTGAAGACAAGGATGAAGACCTTTACAATGATCCATTGTCACCTAACAAATAGTAAGTATATTCTCTCTTCCTTGCAATTTCTTTCTTTCTTTCTTTCTTTCTTTTTTTTTTTTTGAGACAGAGTCTCACTTTGTTGCCCTCGGTAGAGTGCCATTGAGTCATAACTCACAGCAACCTTCAGCTCTTGGGCTTAGGCAATTCTCCTGCCTCAGCCTCCCAAGTAGCTGGGACTACAGGCGCCCACCACAACGCCTGGCTAGTTTTTTGCTGCAGTTTGGCCGGGGCTGGGGTCAAACCTGCCACTCTTGGTATATTGGGCCAGCGCCCTACTTGCTGAGCCACAGGCGCTGTCCCTTCCTTGCAATTTCTTAATGTCATTTTTTTCTGGGACAGAGTCTAACACTGTTGCCCTAGGTAGAGTGCCCTGGTGTCAGAGCTCATAGCAACCTCAAACTTCTGAGTTCAAGTGATCCTCTTGCCTCAGCCTCCCAAGTAGCTGGGAGTAGCCTACCACAAAGCTCAGATAATTTTTCTATTTTTAGCAGAGACAAGGGTGTCAGTCTTGCTCAGACTGGTTTCAAACTTCTTTTTTTTTTTTTTTGAGATAGTCTCACTATGTTGCCCTTGGTAGAATGCTATGGTGTCATAGCTCACAGCAACCTCAAACTCCTGGGCTTAAGCGATTCTCTTGTCTTAGCCTCCCAAGTAGCTGGCAGTACAGGCAACCGCCACGATGCCCAGCTCTTCTTTTGTTATTGTTGTCACTGTTGTTTAGGATACCTGGGCCAGGTTTGAACATGCCAGCCCCAGTGTATGTTGCTGGCGCCCTAAAAACTGAGCTGAGGGCGCCAAGCCTAGTCTCAAACTTCTAAGCCTAGGCGGTCCACCCAGCTCAGCCTCCAACAGTATTACAGGCATGAGCCACCATGCCCAGACCTCTTGATATTATTGTTTCTCTAGCTTACTTTATTGTAAGAACACAGAAAATATATCATATGTGTTAACTGACTGCTATCAGTAAGGCTTCCGGTCAACCGTAGGCTATTAGCAATAAAGCTATAGAATAAAGCTTTTATAGAATTAAAAGTTATACACAGGGGTGGTGCCTGTGGCTCAGTGGGTAAGGCACCAGCCCCTTATACCGAGGGTGGCAGTTCGAACCTGGTCCCGGCCAAACTGCAACAAAAAATAGCTGGGTGTTGTGGCGGGCACCTGTATTCCCAGCTACTTGAGAGGCTGAGGCAAGAGAATCACCTAAGCCCAAGAGCTGGTGGTTGCCATGAGCTATGATGCCACAACACTCTACCAAGTGTGACAAAGTGAGACTCTGCCTCTAAAAAAAAAAAGTTATATACAGATTTCTTACTGCGTGGAAGGTTGGCATTCCTAAACTCTACTTTGTTCAAAGGTTAACTATATATCCAGAAGAATTAAAAATAGGATTTCAAAGAAGTATCTGCATAGTCATGTTTACTGTAGCACTATTCACAATAGCCAAGAGGTGGGAAACAACCTAAAGGTCGTTCAGCCAAAGAATGAATAAAGAAAATGTAGTTTAGGCTCAGCACCTGTGGCTCAAGTGGCTAAGGTGCCAGCCACATTCACCTAAGGTGGCGGGTTTGAATCCACCCTGGGCCCGCCAAACAACGATGGCTGCAACCAAAAAAATAGCCAGGCGTTGTGGCAGGCGCCTATGGTCCCAGCTACTTGAGAGGCTGAGGCAGGAGACTTGCTTAAGACCAGGAATTAGAGGTTGCTATGAGCTGTGATGTCACAGCACTCTACCCAGGAGGACAGCTTGAGGCTCTGTCTCAAAAAAAAAAAAAAAAAAGGAAAAAAAATGTAGTATATACATAAAGCTTTTTCTCTTTTTTCCATTTGAGTCAGTTTTGATTCAAGAAACTGGAGTATTATTCACCTTTTAAAAAGAAGGAAATTCTGGGCGGCACCTGTGGCTCAAAAGAGTAGGTATATAGCTAGCCCCATATACCAGAGGTGGTGGGTTCAAACCCAGCCCCATCCAAAAAAAAAAGAAGGAAATTCTAGGGTGGGCACGGTGCCTGTAATCCTAGCACTGTGGGAGGCAGAGACAGGTGGATTGCTTGAGCTCACAGATTTGAGACCAGCCTGAGCAAGAGCAAGACCCTATTTCTACTAAAAATAGAAAAACCGAGGCAAGAGAATTGCTTTAGCACAAAAGTTGGAGGTTGCTGTGAGCTGTGACTGCTATAGCACTCTACCCAAGGCAACAGCTTGAGACTCTGTCTTAAAAAAAAAAAAAAAAAAAGGCTCGACACATGTGGTTTAAGTGGCTAGGGTACCAGCCACATACACTGGAGCTGGCAGGTTTAAATCCAGCCCGGGCCCACCAAACAATGGCTGCAACCAAAAAATAGCCAGGCATTGTGGCAGGGGCTTGTAGTCCCAGCTACTTGGGAGGCGGAGGCAGGAGAATCGCTTGAGCCCAATAGTTGGAGGTTGCTGTGAACTATGATGCCACAGCACCCTACCCAGGGTGACAGCTTGAGGCTCTGTCTCAAAAAAAAAGAAGGAAATTCTGTCATATACTACAACCTGGGTTAACCTTGAGGATGTTATGCCAAGGGAAATAAGCCAGTTACAAAAAGATAAGTATTGCATGATTCCGCTTCTACATGTTACCCAGAATAATCAAAGTCTTGGAAACTGAAAATGGGGCTCGGTGCCCATGGCTCAAGGGGCTAGGGCGCTAGCCACATACACCCAAGGTGGCAGGTTCTAATCCAGCCTGGGCCTACATCCAGCCCGGCCTGCTAAAAACAACGATGGCTGCAACCAAAAAATAGCCGGGCATTGTGGCGGGTGCCTGTGGTCTCAGCTACTTGGGAGGCTAAGGCAGGAGACTCGTTTGAGCCCAGGAGTTGGAGGTTGCTGTGAGCTGCAATTGCCACGGCACTCCACCCAGGGGGACAGATTGAGGCTCTGTCTCAAAAAAAAAAAAAAAACAAACTGAAAATGGAATAGTGGGTGCAAGGGGCTGGAGGAAGGGGAAAGAGGAGTAACTGTTCCATAGGTTCAGAAGACTGGTCTCAGTTTCGTAAAAGGAAAGTTCTGAAGATCAGCTACACAACAACACACCTACTGTTAATACTACAGTATTTCACACTGGTGAATTTCATGTTCCGGTTTTTTGGACCACAGTTTAAAACTCAAGATATAAGCAGTATGTGCATGGAAACATAAGGATAAGGCACATGTGGGCTTGGAGGGGCAGCCGCTGGGGAGAAAGGGCTCATCCTGTGCCAGGCTGAGCCTGTGGACACACTCACTGGGCCTAGAAATCCTATCCCTCCTACCAAGCCTGTTTTTTCACAGGGAATGACTGCTTTTACAGGCAGGACCACAGGCCCCTCAGGGAGCAGTGCATGTGGGTGGTATGGAAGAATTAAAAGGCAGGACCACACCAAGTTGCAAAGTACACATCCACCACCGTGTGCTGGGGGCAAGGCCAGCAGCCCTGGGCCACGACTGAAGACCAGACAAGGTAAGTGGGTCTAGAGGGGCCAACAGGACTCTCCAGGTCCCAGATCCTTAGCACCATAAATCACTACTTTTTGTCTGGGGCAGCCCCCTCAGGAGGGGCCCTGACCTTCTATCTAGACCTCTGACTCTAAAAGCAGGACAGGAAGGAAGGAAGTCAGGAACTAGGATCATCATAAACTGGACCATAAATGTTGGCAATGGGGTCACAGACAGGACAGGCTGCCTTGACATCTTTAATGGCAGAGATTTCAAAGTACTTGGCTCATCTTGGGAAGGAAGAGTTTTAAGACCATCAGACTCTAAAGAAATAGAAGCTTGCTCAAGCAGGATGGCCTTAAGTCTAGTAACTGGGATATGAAAACAGCACTGGCCTGAGCCCCCTTTCTTTCCACAAGAAGACCTCTCAGTTTCTGCAGCTCCAACTTCTCTTTATGTGGAGAGGCTGGACGGATCAACAAGCTGACCAACATATATATAGGCCTCGTGCAAGGGGAGGAGAGACCCGGGAGTCCTGGGAAGAGCCCACACTCACCGCGATGCACTGCCGCATGATGCAGCTTTGCTTCATCCGCCCAGGGCCCCCAAATTTCTTCATGTCCTTGCAGAAGTGGCACTCTCCGCACTCGGTCCGCAGGCAGGCCTCGCACTTGCGGCATCGCGTCCGGCGCCGGCGAGCTCCTGCGGTTGTCCGGTTGGCGGCCAACTTCACTGCAGAGGATGGGCCCAGCTTCCCCTTGGGCCGACCCACAGCCCGGTTCTACAGGAGAACAGACAAGATGGGTCAGCTGGGAGGCTGTGGGAGCTGCCAGACCCCTGGGAGAGGATGTTACGGGCTGAACTGTGATCCCCCTCGGGCTGAACTGTGATCCCCCAGAAAGACAAGTCAAGTTCTAAACCCTGGCACCTCAGAATGTGACCTTATTTGGAGACGGGCTTTACAGAGCTAATTAGACTGAATGAGGTCACTCAGGTAAGTCCTCATCCACCAAGGCTGGTGTCCTTATCAAGGGGAAAATTTGGACACAGACACACACATGCATGTGAAGACATAGGGGGAAGATAGCCATATGACTAGAGCCTGGTCTACAAGCCAGTAAGTGCTAAGGATTGTCAGCAGCCACCAGAAGCAGGAGGAGACAAGGGAGGACCCTCCCTCCCTGCATGGCCCTGCCCACCCACCTCTTAATTTCAGACTTCTGGCCTCTAGACTTGAGAGAGAATAAATATTTATTATTTTAAGCCACTGGTTAGGGTAATGCTAGAAACCTGCTACAGGGGACATTTTGCTTCAGATGGTGGCAGGATGCCTGGGCTCAAGACCCCTCCATGGCTCCCTGCACTGGACAGGCCTGTGCCTACCTTTCTGGCCTCTTGTTGCTCTTGGTTGTGCTGTACTTCCCTAGAAAGGCCACATAGGGCCACACAGTTGGACTCTGTTCCCTCTGCCAGGACACTGTCTCCCTCCTCACTCCACTTGGCTAATGCCTACTCACTCCACAGGACTAGGTCATGTACTGCTTCCTCCTGGAAGTCCCCTCTGCCTACCTGCACTGAGCTCAGGGTCTCCACTGTGGGCCCTGCCAAAGTTCTCATAACCATAATCACCGTCCTTACACTGCCTTCCCTTTCAGACAAAGGCACAGAAGGGCACTCACCAAGTGTGTCTTGCCCACCACTGTGTGACTATGAAATGGTCAGGGACACAGAAGGTAATCAACAAACCAACCCACCCTGGGGAGAATGGGAAAGTATAGTGCCCAACTCTTATGTCTACCCTAAATGTGCTTCTTTCCCTGTGACTCTGAGAATAGAGACAGTTCAGTGAACAGAGAGCAGTGCTCAGTGCCAAGCCACAGGTCCTGCCCTCTGGTCCTGGCCACCAGTCCTAGAGTCTCCTGCAAGCCTGGGATCCATAGTGGAGCCTCTAAACCAGCTGATGAGGACACTGTCCATGGAGGTCCCCTGCCCACTGGGGATCTGCAATGGGAAGAACCAGCATAGGAGAGTTTATCTTTTTTTTTTTTTTTTTAAAAGAGAGAGTCTCACTCTGTCACCCTCTGTAGAGTGCCTTCACATCACAGCTCACAGTAACCTCCAACTCTTGGGCTTAAGTGATTCTCTTGCTTCAGCCTCCTGAGTAGCTGGGAATATAGGCATTCCCCACCATCCCCCTGGCTATTTTTGTTACAGTTGCCACTGCTGTTTTAGCCGGCAGGGGCTGGGTTCAAACCCGCCACCCTTGGTATATGGGGCTGCCACTGAGCCACAGGTGCTGCCCAGGAGAGTTTATTTTGTCTGAAGCACCTTTCTGAGGAGTTTGAGTTTGCTGAGAAATGGTAAGCCCCTTTGTTAGGGAGACACATCCCTGCTCCTGAAACTATTAAAGCCCTTTTTAGCTCACTGAACAATCTTTAGATAAACCCCTTCCCCTTTTTTTGAGACAAGGTCTCACTGTGTCACCTGGGCTGGAGTATAGTGACATCATCATAGCTTACTGCAGCCTCAAATTCCTGAGACTCATGCAATCCTCCTGCCCTTGCCTCAGAATGCTAGGATTACAAACATGAGCCATTATGGGCCTGTCCCTTTAATTTTAGTTTGTCATACCTGAATCCCCAAACAAAATCCCATCCTTCTGCTAATCTGTGGGCCTAGAAGAGCTGCTACTCTTAATACCCCGCAACAGTGAAGAAGGTCCTCCTTTCAGGGACCCCACATACAAACACAGTACACACAACTCCCCTAAAACTAGTGCTGCCTAGAAATGCCCAACTACAAGGAAAGAAAAACAGTCACCTTCCTCCCCAAATACAGCCTTACCAGTATAGCAGTTCCTGCAGACAGCCACCAACCTCACATACTACCCTCTCAGAGCTGGCACCTAAGTGTCCTTCCCTTAAATTCACAACAGCCAACAGCAGTGAAGAGAGCTCTGAGGCCTCTGCTGGCCCAAGTACCCACTTCAGGCAGTGCTGTGCTGGGTCTCTATCCCATTCACCCTGCCCTGGCACTCCAGAGAGAAAAGGGAAACTACCCAGGTAGGGGACTGTCACAGCCACCCACCCATCGCTCTTCCCTCTATGGCATCCTGGATTGTCACCAGTGAGGAACGAGGTAAGGCAGGGCCCAGGTTGAAGAGCTGCCCATAAGCAAGCCTGCCACCAACCAGCCACTTAGGAAAGAAGCAACACAAGTTGCTCTTTCATCAAGCAGCAAAGTGTTCTGTGTCCTCTGCCCACCAGTCCTACTGGGTTGGGGCACCCCAGGTGCACTTTAACAGCCCACCACCAAAAGACACTGGCAGGCCAATCAGCTCAGGTCTGGCTGCCCCAGGAAGAAGTAAAACAAGCTGTTTTCACTGCTTACTGGATTTGAAAACAGTGCATAAAGGACCATGGGCCTAAAAGATGAGCAGCTGACCGAGAGCAACAAAGAACGCTGAGAGGAAGTGACAACGACAGGGACCCCAGCAGTGATGGTGGTAGGTATTTTCTGAGCACCCACTATGTGCAGACAGCATGGCCATCATTTCACATAGGATGTTACCTAATTTTAGCTGTACTCTGAACACTATAAATGACAGCAGATAGGCATGCAAAGTGGGGTAAGAGGCCACAGCTCCACCAGGACTGCCAAATCCCCTCAAGGAGTTCATAGCTAGTGCCACGATGCCCTTAGTATCAAGAGTATCAAGAGGTGCACAAAAGAAGCACAGCTACTTCCAGAGAAGTGGAAACCCACAAAGGTTTTCCCCTCTCTTCCCAGCCCACAACACTTTCTGATTCTGCCCTCCCCAAAGGGCAGGTGTCTGTCCTATTACCAACTCCTCAAATTCCAGACAGACAGACAAAGATGTTGGGCACTTCTGAGGCCTTAAGGCAAGTGCAGAGTGGCTAGCCCATGGGCCACCCCCACCAAAAACAAAACTCAAACTCTCACTGTTAAGCTGGAGATTCTAAGGACCAAGTTCTCTGGTGAAAAACCGAAAAAATTCCAAGAGTCCAAAGGAACGTCAGGTATTAGTGACCAAAGAGCGCCTCCAGTCTTGCTAGCCCTGAGGATAGTGTTGGGCCAAGCTAGCCAGGGTCACAAGGCTTATAAGTTACGATGCAACCAGGCCACCTGCTTGTATGTCCCAAAACATGTTCCCAAACAAAGTAGCATTTTTCACTGGTTGTGGTGACTCATGCCTGTAATCCTAGCATTTTGGGGAGGCTGAGGTGGGTTTGAGCTCAAGAGTTCAATATCAGGCTCGGCGCCTATAGCTCAACCGGCTAAGGCGCCAGCCACGTACACCTAAGGTGGCGGGTTTGAATCCCCAGCC